CCCCAAAACCCCAAAACCCCAAAACCCCAAAACCCCTTCAAATATTATATTAATTGAGGTAATTAAATTATAATTGAATTAATGGAAAACAATACTAATAAAACCAAGAGTGATTTTTTGATTTTGTATGCTACTCAGACTTATACAGCTAAATATGCTGCAGAAGAAATCGGAAGAGAGGCACTTAGAAGATCTCTAAATCCTAAAATATCAAGTTTTAAAGATTATAACATTTTCAATTTACCGACGGAAAAGCTTGTAGTATTTATAGTTTCTACTACTGGAGATGGTGATCCTCCCACTATGATGATAAACTCATGGAAATTTTTGCTTAGGTCAGACTTGCCAAAAAACTCACTACAGTAGCTGAATTTTAGTGTGTTTGGATTAGGGGATTCTTCTTATGAGAAATTCAATGCAATGGCTAAAAAACTTACTTAAAGATTGATTGATTTAGGAGCAAATCTATTTCATAAGGTAGGTCTTGGTGATTATCAGCATGATTTCAACTACGAAGGAGAATTTGATCCTTGGCTAAATAATCTCTGGCAATCTATGAATAAAGTCTTAGTTGGAAAGTTTATTAATCTAGGCGATATACCTGAGGACAAACTCCTTCCACCCATTTATAAAGTTGAATTCATGGATCATGTGGCAGAAGAAAATTATAGTACTTTGAACTAGTTACCTCCACCCAATGGGGCAATTAATAAACAAGTTTATTTAAGTAAAGTAATAAAGAATACTAGAATTACTGCTGAAGATCATTTCTAAGATACTAGACATATTGTTTTAGACAATAGTTAGTAGAATAAGTATGACCCAGGAGATATAGTTATGATTTAACCTAAAAATAACCCCAAATAAATATAAGAATTCATCGAAAGATATGGGTTAAAGCCAAATCAATTACTAAAGATTAAAGTTGATTTAGAATAACTTGGATAAATTTGTTCGACTTCTGTCATCTAATTTCCTGAGGAAGGAATCAAAGTTGAGGAATTATTTGAATATTGGTTGAACTTAATGGACCCACCTTCTAGATATTTTGTTAAGATCCTCAGTTTTTTTGTGGAGGATAAATAAAGAGCTGAGAAACTTAAAGAGTTTGCATCCAAAACATCAGTAATTACTTTTTTCTTTATTTGCTTTTAGGAAGGTAAATCTGAGTATCATAGATACTGCATTAGAGAAAGAAGGACTATACCAGAAGTTATGCTAGACTTTCTTGTAACAGATCAATTCCCGCTTGCTTACTTGATTTAATTAGCTGGAAGATAGAGACCAAGAGAATTCAGTATTAGCTCATATCATTAAAAAGTTCCTAATGAAATTCACTTGACAATGGCAGTAACAGATTACACAACAAAGTTTAAGAGACATAAAAGAGGTGTATGTTCTTCATGGCTATCTGAGTAGGATGCTGAGAAAACAAAAGAAACAGTTCCTATCTGGCTTGAAAAAGGAACGATGAAAATACCTCCCATAAAAGATGGTAAAACTTACCCGATTATTATGGTTGGACCTGGCACAGGAGTCGCTGCATTTAGAAGTTTTATATAATACTTGGCTCAATATCCTGACCAAGAAATAGTCCTTGTTTTTGGATCAAGATCTGAGACAAAAGACTATTACTATGAGGATGAATGGAAATAATATCCTAACTTAAAATTGATTACTGCTTTTTCAAGATTTTAGGACGACTAAAAAGTCTATGTTTAGCACAAGATAAGAGATGAATCTGATTACCTTAGTAAATTGATAATAGAAAAGTAAGCTCATATATATGTAAGTGGAAGAGCTAAAAATATGCCCAAGAGTGTTGAAAAGGCTTTTATTGAGATTATTCAAAAGCACTATCCAGATTTAAATGCTCTTGAATACGTTATGAAGGCTAGAAAAAATGGTTAATATTAGCAAGAAGTGTGGTGAGGATTCAGTAGTTATTATTTAGTTTTAATTAATCCTAAAATTCTGATAATTTTGATAATGGGGTTTTGGGGTTTTGGGGTTTTGGGG